CCAATTCAAATGAGTATGAAACTTTTTCAATTACTTAGGTATTAACATTAACTACTTTACTAACTAGTTTAAAGCAAGTTTGAACTGAATTTGAACTTGTTTTTGTTATATTTTGATTCTAGGTATATAGCATCCATACATATAATTAGTTAGGTATGTAATCATGGATTATGAAATAAAGTTAAATTTGAGTTGTTTTGTTGATAAGTATAGGTATGAATCAAATTATTATAACTAGGTATATACTCACAATTTAAAAATTTTGAAAATTTTGAGTGATTTTGTGCATTAGATACCATGGTGCCCGGGCACCATGGTGCCCCATATATATATATATATATATATATATATATATATATATATATATATATACACACACACAGCTTTGGGAGTCTTCGAGAGATATACACGAGCTGGGCATCTCTTTTTGTTTGTCGCACCCCCCCCCCCTCCCCCCCTGTTGCTGAAAGCGATCAGCGCAACCGAAGCGAGGAATAATAATCGGCAATGATAGCGGGAGTTTGGTCAGACGAGCCTCAGACGAACAGCCGGTCGAATATTCACTCTCATCACCAGCAAAGCGGAAAAAAAAACACGACGATATATGTGGCTCTCGTCGTTTTATATTCACATGTATGATGTATCATACGGAGTATGATAGTATATATGTGTGTGCATATAGTATGTTGTTTTTTATATTCGTGGAGCAAAGTGATCGGCGCCAGAAAGCACCTTTGTGCCGTCAATTTTATTCAGGGGAGAGAGAGCTGCAAGAACTAGCGAAGAATATTGTTGTGTGATCTGGGTAAGTAATCTAATGGCGAGGCTTTGCTTGGGCAAAGAGGAGGTCAATGGTGAGCGAGCGAGAATCCTATGCGTTAGGATTAGCGGCAATAAACAAAACGGCCTCCACTAAACAAGGCGCGATACGGAGGTAATGCAAAAGCTGTGAGAGGGGGGCAAAGCAAATCCTATCCTCCTCCTGAATGCCCAAATCCCAGCGTGATCGATCGGGGTTGTTGTTTTTGTAGCTGCTTAAGCTTTTTATTGCACACGTTTGATGCATCGTTCTCAGGATGGGTCTCTCGGTGGGTCAGTGCCCACGGCTTGGGAGTTTTCTGGTCCCGAAAACCTGTTGCACGATGTGATACGTCTCGAACGAAAAGATGAAACTTTTTTGTTGCTGTTCTGATGATGGTAGTAGTAGTAATCCTGTTTTTTTTTGTTCCTTTTTTCTTTACTTTGCGCCCGGCCATTGTAAGGTCCGCATCGGAGGTAGGCCACATCACGGTTTCAACTGTGTATAAGCGTGTAACATCTGCCGTTGCTGAAAGAATGCTCCTCTGATGTTGTTCTCTGACGTAAAAAAGGAATCTAGGATTATATGTGATATATTCTAGTATAGTGTGTTCAAATTTATGGTATTAGGATGTGTTATATCTAGTACTAAGTTGGTCTTTTATAAGACGGAGGGAGTACGTCGTTAATATGTAGGTTCACGAACTGCAAAATTCATATGTCAGTTAGAGAATTTGTTTCCGCCGCTGCTGCACGCGCCGTGAGGCGTGAGCTGCTCAGCGGTGGCGCGTTCGGCACGAGCGATTTGATTCACCGGTGAAAATTCTCGCGGCCGCCACGGAGAAATCGGCCCAGAAATCCGGCCCGAGAAAAAGGCCCACGCGCGAAGCAGCCCACCAAGCCCGGCGGCGGCGAGCAGGTAGGTCAACCCCGGCCCAAAAATTTTCAGAAGACTCTGGACTCTTGCGATTCGTCTCCAGCCGCGGCCATGAAGGACCCGTTCGAGGCGGCGGTGGAGGAGCAGGAGTCGCCGCCGGAGTCGCCGGCGGCGAACGAGGAGGACGCGGCCGGGGCGCCCGAGGGATACGACGGCGCCAGCGGGTCGCGCGGGCCTCCGCTGCGGCTGCCTCCTTCGAGGGCCGCGCCATCGGGCTCCGGTGGTGCCGCCGCGGCCGCGGCGAGGGGTAAGGTGGTGCGGGTCCAGAAGGAGCAGCAGGAGGAGGAGGATGACGAGGAGGACCACATGGAGGTCGACCTCGACAAGCTGCCCTCCGGCACCAGCGACCCCGACAAGCTCGCCAAGATGAAGTAGGTGCTTGGCTGCGCTCATCCTAAACCTAGTTTTGCCTTCTTCTGGTGCGTGCTATATATGAAGGGTTAACTGCATAAGGATCAACTAAATTCAGGAACCATATGACCGTCTGTTGAGTATATACGTTCTTTGATCGAGTTCAGTGTTTTAGCGTCCTTCACCCTTTTAACTTTGGTTAATTTGTGACAGTAAGATTTGTACTAGTGGAAATTTCTGAATTGGAGTAAGGATTGTTCGTGATTGTAGTTACAGAACAACCTGACATTATTCACTTCATAAAGACTGTAGTCCCAGTTTCCAGCTATATGTGAAGCGTTTACTGGCATAAAGATCAGTTAAAGTTAGGAACCATATGACTGTCTATTGAGAATATGTTCTTGATCAAGTTCAGTGTATTTTGGTGTCCTTCACCGTTCAACTTTGGTTAATTTGTGACAGTAAGATTTGTACTAGTGGAGATTTCTGAATTGGAAAAGGGGATTGTTCTCAATTGTTTGTGATTTTATTTACAGAACATCCTGACATTATGCACTTCTCAGATTTATGTTCCAATATATATAGTGAAATATTAAACCCATCTAAATAAGAATTCTATGTTTGAAAAACTATGTACTCCTTTTCCAGTGCCATACTGTCTCAATTTACAGAAGACCAGATGAACCGGTATGAGTCATTCCGCAGATCTGGATTCCAGAAATCTAACATGAAAAAGGTATGATCTCATTCCCAACATCCATTGATTTAATATCGTACAAGTATAAACTGCAATATCATGTGCGTGTGATGCGTGTGGCGCCTCCATCTGAATTGGCTTCAGTGTTCCCCTTTGCAATAAAAGCTTTCCACAAAATGTGGATCACATTAACATTTTCTGCTTTCTTAAGTCTTACAGTTACCTTATTTTCTGTTGAATAACACCTGTTCTATTTTGGTTCATGTTTCTTTTGTGGATGCATACCATGAGTTGTACAATGTACCATGCATGTCTTGTCCAAATTGTTGATAGAGCTTCATGTACAGGACAGTTGATTTCGCTCCAAGTTGTAGATAAATACATTTTTGCCTATGTCATCGTTTCTACTGATTGTAAGTGATGTACACTCTCTAAATAAAAAACCAAACTTGGTCAATATTCTTTTCTTCAATTTATAGGCAGGCTAAGAAAGCCTTTTTGTAGTGTCAATCCAAAGTTTGACCTTTTTCTCGGTAAAAATGTTACTTTTGGCTGTTGAATGCCTGAAGTTAACAATGCTTTGAAATTACGTTCTAGTCAGAGGGACAAGTGCTTTAATGTATTTCCTCATCAGTGGTTGAAATATGAGATCACTGCGTTATTGGAATGTTTTTCGGAGTTGCTAGAAATATGGCGCCATATGCTACAGTCGATTTTTTTTAACCACTTACACAGTAGTTACACCTCATTTACACCCCATTTACATATGTAATTAGTATGTAATTTCGAATTTACATATGTAATTTTATTACTTACATATGTAATTTTGAGACTTACATTGTAAATACACTAAAATTACATATGTAATTTAGGGACTTACAATGTAAATACATGCCGACTATTTTTTGATGAAAAATATGACGCCATAAATATAGCTACACCCATGTTTTTTTAAAGTTGATTTGATATTCTGTTTCCATGCAGCTATTGGCGAGCATTACTGGCAGTCAAAAGATTTCTCTACCAACAACAATTGTAGTATCAGGAATTGCAAAGATGTTTGTTGGTGAGCTTGTTGAAACAGGCAAGTCTAGAGTAATTATCTTATTTACTTTGTTGCTCATAGAACACTACCACCAAAGCACCTATGATTTTGATGTATGCTCATCTCTTAAAGCAAATCACTCTTATGACTGATCTTTTGTAATCGTCCGTGTTCAAATGTCCTTTTCTGCTTTCCATAAACTTGTTCTCTGACATCAGAAGAAAAAGGAGGGATGGCTTTATTCACTTTATTTTTGACAATTCGATTGTGTCTGTTGCAGCTAGAATAGTTATGACTGAGAGGAAAGATTCTGGACCAGTAAGGCCTTGCCACATCAGAGAAGCCTACAGAAGATTGAAACTTGAAGGGAAGATCCCACGGCGGACTGTTCCCAGGCTCTTCCGTTAGAATTGAAGCATCTCTGTTGATCCCAGTCGACACTGAGATGGTCCTTTCTGCGGTCAGATGCGCGGAAAGAGAGAATGACATGAGATGTATTTCTTCAGCTTTGTGAAATTGTTACTGTGATTTCTGTCGCAGCAAGGGAACCAGAGCAAACAGTACGTACAAGCTGAAGTACTACGGTACTACTAGCCGTGGAAAATTCTATGTATAAAGTATTGGCCGTAGGCTGTGAATTTTCAGGCTTATGAATAGTTGAACTGTGTACTATGCTGTTTGGAGTATGCGCTGAATCTGATTATATGCTTGTCTGCAATTAAATGCGACCCTCGTTTTAACCCAAACGATGTGTCTTTCTGCTATTTTTATACGTAGAACTCTTGCCGTTGTAACTAATCGATTTTTTAAACGAAGTGTCTTTCTGCTATTTCAAGATCGGATGCTATGCAGGATCTTATGTCCTGCAGGCTGCAGCTTCGGCGGGAGCATTTACGCCGGCATTGTGTTCCTTGAGCATTGTGTGTATTGGTATTGTCGATGATTCTGAAATTAGGCAATTGTTTATGGGGATCTCATCCTTTCTTATTTTTCTTCGTTTCATTTTTGGAAGTGGCTGGCTGCATCTAGTTACTTGACATCACTGGTACATCTTGATCATGTCTTCTTTCTATTGATGTTTTGGTGTTTTTTAATTATTTTGAGAACATGTTTTGGTTCAGGCCTAGGTGTTCACACTAAACTTCTCCCAAACTCCTAACTTTCCATCACATCCCATCCAAAACTTTTCTACTTACATAAAATCCTAACTTTTTTTCCCAAACTACCAACTTTCTCTAAACTTCTCTCTAATTTCAGAAACTAAACACAGCCTTGGTTTAGTTCTCAATGTTTTCTTCAAACTTCCAACTTTTCCATCACATCAAAACTTTCCTACATACATAAACTTCTAACATTTTCGTCACATCGTTCCAATTTCAATCAAACTTTCAATTTTAACGTGAACTAAACACACCAGTTGTGTTTGTTTGTAGACCCTGTTACAGCTGCTGCATTCTTGGTTCAAACTATTGGAAGGGAAAAATGTCAAGCTGATGCAAGGTTTGCTATATTTCGTTGTGATGAATTAGAGCAGCGAAAAGACCTTACTAACCTCCTGCTTGTCTTGTCCACTCCAGTCCACACAGCCACTCGATCGTTATCCCTTGTCCGTCTTGCCTTGCCTTGTCGTAAGCTAGGCAATGGCTATGCCGCTGCCGCCGCCGCCGCCGCCTCGTCCTCCTCTTGGACGGGGACGGCTCGTCGGAGTAGGACCAGCTCCAGCACCAGCAACGGCCTCCCAATCCAACCGCCCAGTGCCCCCCCTGCAGCTGCCTCGCTGCCGCTGCCATCGCTCGGAGGGACCCTGGAGGACGACGGCGGCGGCGAACGGGAGGAGGCGGTGGTGGTCCGACGAGGACATGGAGGAAGAGGACGACGAGGAGGGATACGGATACGACGACGGCGGCGCGCCAGGCGGGTCAGCGCAGGAGCTGTTCGGCGAGCCATGGTTTTCCAAGCTCTTCCGTGCGTACGGCTACGTGCTGCCGCTGCTGCTGGCGTCCATGCTGGTGGCCACGGGGCCCAGAGCTTTCCTCATGGCCATGGCGCTGCCGCTCGCCCAGTCCGCCATCTCCTGGGTCGTCTCCTTCTTCACCACCAGGAGTCGTCGGCAGCAGGAGGAGGAGGAGTCGTACGGATACGACTACGATGACGATCCCGCCTTCCAACGCCGAGAGGAAGACGACGACGACGGCGACTACTATGATGCCGGGGCATGGCAATGGCGGAGCAGGAGCCACCAGCAATCGACCGAATCCGGCTCCGGTTTTGGAGGATGGGATGACCTCCTCTACGACGATGAGGAGAAGAAGGAGCAGGAGAGCTCAGGGAAGAAGAGGACGCCACCGGAGCCCGACACGGCGGCGGCTGCTGCCGCCTCCGATCTGGGACTGGGATTGCGGGCGAGGAGAGGTCCACGACGCAGCAATGGCGGCATGTCGCGAGGAAGAAGCAGCAGCAGCATGAGGTATAACCAGGCGCCACTGCTGACGCGCCTTCTCGTGGCACTCTTCCCCTTCCTCGGCTCATGGTTCAGGATACTCTAAATTTGAGAAGAAGAAGAAAAACTGAGAGATTTCAGCATTCAGAATGGATTGATTCATCGTCAGTTCGTCAGACTCTTATCACAATTTCCTTCTCCCGGTCAGGTGCACTTTGCCTCTTTTTTGTCTTGGTCATGTTCACCTGACAATCACAACTCACAACTTCATGCAAATCAAAACAAAAAAAAAATCACTTGGTTTCTTCAGGAACCAAACCATGAAAATTGAGATGAAATTTCTGGCCTTGTTGTCTACTGATAGCAAGAAGCATCAGACGCTGATGTGGACAGGCAGAAGAACTGACCTTCTTCTCCTTCTCCTTCTATTCCTTCGCCGTGCTGGCGCTGTTGTTCTGCCTACTCTTTGTCAGTACAGCAATAGTGCACTACAGGTACATATGTGGTGCACTACAGCTCGTCAAGCTGGAATGACAAAAAAAAAAGCGTGAACTTTTGAGGGGCATAAGAAAGTCTAACATTTTTTTGCTGTACAAAGCAGAAGGCAATCAATCAGGCAGCTCACCTGATTTCTCCTACGCTAATCAGGTCCAGTGATTTGGAGAATTTCCTGGCAGCAACAAGCCAGCAACTCGGCGGAATTTTAGGAGATAATTCTCGCTGATTAGTCTGCGACGCAACGAGGGACTTACGAGGTGACCGGAGACACCATGGCCTTCCGTTCGCTGTTGTGCTCCCATGAGCAGAGAGAGACCGACCGGATACGGAAGAAGGACGAGAAGCATAGCAGAATTAATCGTGACGGACAACAAGCATCCGAAATTAGGAGTGCTGGCAGTGCATGAAAGCGGCAAGTTTAATACTAGTAGTACTCATTTCACACCGCTCCCGCTTTATATGCACGGAAGGGGACAACCCGATCGATCGGAAACAGATCCTATGCGATTTTGCGGGGATGGTATGCAAGTCTAACATCCAACGAGCCCATATGTTAGTGATCCACATTAAAGAGGAAGAGACTCATCCTGATCGATCAGTGCTGAAAACAGAAGCATAAGTCCATCGGAAATCTCGGTAAGATATATGCCCGGCAGGCGAGGCCAGTGTGAAAACTAGGGTCGCCAAACGCCATGATGCCATATGCTTGCTTGTATGCCCAAGCAAAGCGGCTTGTACGACAGGCCGAGGGCAGCGTCGGGGGCAACCAAAACCTACCAACGGCCAACGCAACGCAAGCAGCACAGGAGAAGCAAGCACAAGACTCGACCGGCTCTGCCTACGCGACAGATATCCATACGCCTCCTCCGGTCGGCTTCGCGTGCAAATATATGTCGCGAGCCAAGAACCAAAGCGCAAGCTGCCTTAGCTTCTCGTCTCCTTCCACCGCCGGCAACACGTCACAGGTGCGCGCGGCGCATCCATAAGCGACTCGTACCCAGGGTTGGCAAATGCATTTATTTATTTAAAGAAAAAAACATATACTCCTACTATAGAGTACTCCCTCCGTTCTAAAATAAATGCAGTTTTAACGCTGTTTATGCCCAACGTTTGACCTTTCGTCTTATTTGAAAAATAATTATGATTAGTATTTTTATTGTTATTAAATGATAATACATGAATAGTACTTTATGTGTGACTAATATTTTTAATATTTTTTTATAAAATTTTCAAATAAGACGGATGGTCAAAACACTGGACACGGATATTTATGGTTGCACTTATTTTAGGACAGAGGTAGTACAAGTCACTGGCAAGAGCAAAATATTCAAATACTCCATCTTTTTGTCCAAAGAAAAAAACATTCAGGTACAAAATTCAAACAGCTGGACATGAGACCGTAAACAGTCTGTAGTAAACATACAGACAGACAGACAATTGTGTTCCTGTTTATGGCTGCCATCGCCGCCAGTTCGCCACTCGTACCATGTCCGAACAACAAAGCCTCAAATTCTCCGCCCCTAAACTAAATACGGAGTACTCCTCCACCCTAAAATATTGCAAACTGGGTAAAGAGTAGTACAGGGTTTTCCAAAGAAAAGGGGAAAAAAGAGCTACTTCACCAGCAATGGCCGGCGTTGCGTATGGAAAATCGTGGTCGCTGGCGTTTTTCAACCACGCTTTCCTCGCCCTCACGGCCCTCCCATACTCGCCCACATGTGACGTGCACATACATATACGCATCAGCACATGAATACATGATTGGAGAGTTTAATCATCGCCTCTTCCACAACAGTACTGTACACACAACTGATGGACGAAGGAAGAAGCCAAAGGAAATAGTGGTCAAGTTGATCACGCGAGATGCCGACACGTGTCCAATATTCGGTGTAATCGCACGGCTGATAGACGAGCCATGCCAAACTTCTGTAACAGATTCTTCCATCATATATGACGTAGAAGATCCTCGTTAGATATCTCAGCCCCCGTCCGTCCGGCATGCCGAACGTTTGTCAGCTCGTCACAAGGGACTACCGCACTTTGCAGGTGACCGCGACGCGCCAGGCCCATCGAAGCAGCCTCCATCAGCCCTGGCCCTGGCCCATACTGAATCCATTCAGAATCTCCTGCCTCATTGCGACTGCACAATGATTCTTTCTTTTTTTTTTAACCTTTTCAGAATACTTTTGGTGTTCCGAAGACTTGCCCAACGTGAATGAATGGGAGAAAGAAGAAGAAAAAAAATGGTACTAGTACTAATAGTAAAGAACTATGCACAAGAGTCACCGGGTAACCATTCCAACCAAACCAAACCGCAAAAGCTCACAGGAAGGCGAGGCCGGCCGGGCCAACGGAGCCCACCCAAAAAATTACACCACAAAATGGCCTCTCGCGGGGAGAAAAACGCGGCACCAAGTTGTGCGCCGCTGCGACGACGTGCGAGCAGGTGGCCGGCTCTGACAAAACCCGAAAGAAACGAAAAAAATTCACCCCGGGGCATAGTCGTCGTCGTCGTCTCAAGCCACCACTTCCGCTGGGCCGGGCGCCTCGAGGAGGGTGTGTGAGGCAAACGCGTTACGCGTGCACCTCCTGCCCTCGGCACATCCTCCTCTTCTTTTTCCTCTCCATTTACACAAAAAACACTCTTCGCCTTCGCCTTCCCTTTGGCTTGCCCTTACTTCTTCTCCCCCCATCCACTTTGATTGCAATGGCCCAATCTCCATCCACTCCAATCTTATTGCTCCTTTCGCTTTGGGTGCCTCGCTTGACCTCCAGCTGCCGTCACTCCGAGTCACTGTCCATGCTCTCCATCCCTTTCAGCCCTCTACGCCTCTGCATAGTCAGAAACAGGAGTTTTCGGTTAGTGCCCGAGATTAAGCAGAAACCTTGATGGATGGAGATACTACTAGGTGATTAGGTGCATGTGCTGAGCCTAATTCTTGTGGAGAATCTAGCACCCCTCAAGCACAACCTAACCATCAGGGGTTTTTAATAGCTGCCAGTCAGCTAAACAATACTAGTAGAGTTCATGTTACAAGATTCGAGCTGGCCTTGTTACTATTGGAAAATATATGCATGTTAGTATGTTACAGGAGCTCATTAAACTACAGCATGCTTGAATGCTCCTAATAACAAAGGGAATGAGTTGAAGACCCTATCACGGAAAAGGTGAAAAACAGACTAGTAGATCAAAAGACAGCACCACAATTTCTTTTCCAACCCTTTGTACCATTTCTTTTTCTTCTCTTTTTCGATGGTTATGATTCCAAGCTCTATCCAGACATTATCATGTGGTCCTAACAAAAGACACAGATACATGTCTCCACGTTGGCCCTTCCCTACTTGTCAGCGACGACGACTTGCATTCAAGCCTTCAAGGTCCGGAATAATCAAGTTGTCAACAATCTCGCACCCGCAGCTAAGCACTGAACTAACACCACCTAAGTAGTAATAATGCTACAGTTCTTTCTCATGCTTAGCTAAGGACGATAAGAGGCTGACAGCTGGGCCCCATACTGAAAGAGGCCAAGACTTTTTTTTGTTCTTTCTGCTATGACATGTGGCACACTCTGGTTTGTTGTGAGTTGTGACTGTAGTGTTCTTGAATGAGATTTGCCTGGGAAAGCACATGACAAATGTAGAAAGATGAACGAATGGATCCAACTAAACGTAGAACAAGAAGACTCCTTTAGGTAAGGGCAATAGAATGATCGTTCGCTTGCATCTCCACGTCCACAGCAATAAAGCTGAGCCAAATAAATCAGTGCCGTGCCGTCATCAATGAGGACACGGAGCATCACGAGTCATGGGCCCCATGTGAGGGAGAAGGGGCCAAACTAAAAGAAAAGGGCAAGTAATTCACCTACTCTTCGGCTTTATTTTTGCATTAGACCCAACCAATCTGGGTCACTGATGCCCTAAATCTAGGTAATTTTCCTCTTCTTGTCTGTAAAAATACACAGAATGCATGAACTGAAAATGCCAGGTGCAGAGTGGAGTATACCTTCTTCACACATTTCTTCTCTCGCACCTCATACCGTCCTCTCGTCAAGTCTGAAAGCCACATCCCAGGGAATACATACTGCACATCACATCGGGGGCAACACGAGACACATGTTAGCTCTGTGATCAGAACAGATGCAAGAATGGATCGGAGCAGATAAGATCAGGCCGGTTTGCGGAGCAAAGATTGGCATACTTGGAGGGTCTTGTCCACGTTCTTGGCCCTCTTCTTGGGCCTCTGAGGCAGCTTGGTGCCCTTCATGATCAAGAAGTCGTCCTCCTTCTCCTTGCGCGACAGCGAGATGTAGATCCGGGGCAGCTCAAACCGCTCGGAGCCGATCTTCTCGCCGGCGCCGGCGCCGCCGTTTGCGGTCACCGACGAGTCGTGGTGGTGGTGATGGTGGTTGTTCTTGGAATCCATGTGCAGCGCCGCGTCCAGGGCGGACTTGTGCGCCTTGTCCGGCGACCGCTTGTACCCGCCGCCTGATCGCTCCTCCACGGCGGACCTGATCATACCACCAGAGAAAGAAAACAAGACGTTAATCATGGGGATTGTTGCAGGTGCTAGTGGTGGTGATGATGGACTTGGAGGTGGTTGGGAGGTTGAGAGAAAGGGTAAAGGGGAAGAAGGGGTGGGTAGGGTGGATTGGTTACTCACTAGTAGTACAACTGGTCTGCTGGAGACTCCTACCACAACAAGATGGATGCACTATGAGCAAAAGCTATACTACTATTGTTGATGCCCAGAAAGAAAAGAGAGGGGAGCTGTGATGTGGATATATTTATAACCATCTACCCTACAAGCAGTACTACAAGCTCTCCCTCCTCTTGATGCTGCAAATTCATATGATGATGATCATCATCATCCCAACACCCCAAATTAACCAGATCGACCAAACGATCCTCCCAAATTAAAGCTGCCCTAACCAAGGAGTACCACCATGACCATCAACGAATTTCAGCGAGATATGGAGATCTCGATGGGGGTCCCCATGCATCATGCAACGTGTGACAAATACGGGTGCTGCTGCCTATGACCTTACGACTTGGGTTACAGATTAGTCAAGGAAGAGGAAGGTAAAGTTACCACCTCAATGTACCACACACCAGATCCGGACACACAACATCCTCCGAAAAATATTGTAAATAAAAATTAAAAGGGTTATAAATACCACGAAAATTCGGGGAGAGACGAAGAGATCTAGATCAGGTGAGAACCTGCTCCAATTTTTTAATAGAAACAAAAGTGTGTGAAGTAAAAAGGAGAAAAGAATCTTTTATCAAACTCAACCCACCCTTCTCTCTACGGAGCGGTACAGCTCAGAAACAAAAGAGACCCAAACCCGAAGACCCAAAAAAAAACCCGAAGCGAATAAATAACGCGGCGAAGACACGAACTCACGAACCCAACAAAACAAAACAAACGCAAGAGCCACCACGACTCCAACGAGGAATATGAGAGCGCGCGGCCCGGTAGTTTCCGCGGAGGGGCAAAAGCGGAAACAGAAAAAAAGTCGCCGAGCGAAATGCAGGCGAGGAAAAAGGAAGGACGTCATCTTCCCCACGACATCGATATGAGACGAGACGGAGAGGAGGAGGTAGGAGGCGTGTGTTACCTGTGGTGGTGTGCGTCTCCGACGGCGGCGGCGGCGGCGGACCGCGTCGGGAAGGACGAAGCGGACCTCAGGTTGGACCCGCGCGTGTACGACCCGGTGGTGGTGGATGGGGGCGGCGGCGGCATGAGCTTCTCCGCCGGCGCCGACGAGCGGCGCAGGATCTTGCCGGCGGCGGAGGCGGTCTGGCGGCGCTGCGAGGAGGAGGGAGCCGCGTTGGCCGAGGAGGACGCGTCGCGCCGGCAGCGGGACCGCTTGTTGTGCCCCCACTGCAGCAGCACGTCGCCACCGGTGCCCGCGCCGTTGGAGCTCGGCGAGGCCGTGTCGGAGGAGTCGGACGGGTGGTGGTGGTGGTGGTGGTTGTGGTGGGCGTGCGCGTGGTCGCGCGCCGGGCTCCAGGCGGCGGCCGACGAGGACGACGGCTGCGGCGCCCGAGCGCGCAGCGGCTTGGAATCGAGCTGTGACGACGGGAGGTACGACGAGAGGCGGGAGCTGTCCGCGGCGACGGCCATGCCGCCATCGTCGTCCTTGCAGGATCTCGACGCCGGCTTCCGTGTCACGCTACCGCTTCCTCCGCCGCCGCCGTTGGCTAGCGGGAGGCAGTCCGGGCTAAGCCTTTGGTACCTGCAGTGAATCAAAACGCGCCGATTAGCGATTTGATCGGAGGAAAGAGATCTGCTACAAAATGCGAGTCGCAAATCGGGCCTTCTCAGACCATCACATGGAATGGAAATAAAACGAACAGATCGAACTCTGCAGATGCAACAGAAGCAGGGTTGAACAGGAGGCACCAAAATGACCGAAAATTTGACAACAAACCAACCAGTTCTTGAAAGGGAACACGGCCACAAAGAACATGAACAAACTGACATGAACTATGGCTCTCATCATCCCAGAAAGAGTACCCATGGTTGCAAAACGACCAAACGATCCGATGCTTTTGTACCCAGACTCTAAAACAGCCAGAGAGGAACCAAGAAAAGCAAAAGACGATTATACTGAGATTATGAGCAGAAGACTGCGAAATACGGAGAGAATGAAATCGGGTCAAAACGAGACGCACGAATTCCACGCGAATTAGCGAAACCGGCATAGAAACAGTCAAGTAGAGATCAATCGAACCGCAACAGCAGCAACACCATGAAATCCAAAAATCAAACGAACAGAACAAAACCATCAGACAGATTAACAAGTAGAATCACAAAGGACAGCAATTCGACAAGGAGGCCGGCCATCACCGGCCGGCAGGCAAGCAAATCAACCAAATCGCTTCACCAGCCGAACAAAAAACCGAAAGAGGAAAACAAAACCGAACGCGAACCATAGAAACAACATAGCGATCTGACACAGAAGAGAGCAAGAAACGAGGAACCGCAGGAACAACCGAACAAGGACGAGAGGCTCGAGGGCCTGGAGATCTGCCGTCTACCTCATCATGTCCAATGCCGGGAGGGCTTTCAGTCTCAGGGCGCACGGCGACGCGGCGTGTCTGCCAATCGCGTGGACCTCCAGGGAGCCACGCATGAAAAAATGGCCGTCGGCCACCGGCTCCGGCCGCCCGCGCGTCCCTCCCTTTCTTACCGTCCAAACCAATCGCTCCCTTCTTCCTCCTCCTCGTCCGTCAAGTCGCGAGCAGACGACGACGATGAACGAGATGCGAGAAGCCGCCGGGAAATTTACAGGGGAAAAAAATCGTGAGAAGAAGAAGAACAGGCGACAGAGGAGGGAGGAGGAAGACGGAGAGGAGGGCAGCAATGGCGATGGGAAGCAGAGTCGGGGTCCAAATAGAGGCTTTATCTTTTCCGTTCTTCCCGTTTTGCCCCCCGCCACGGGTGGCAATTCACCGTTCTGCCACCGCTTCTGATCTGACAAAACTGCCCCCGCGCGGGCCGTGGCAGATTGGTGATTTGTGGTGAATTTCCCGGGCTCATTCGTACGAAGGAAAAAAAAACTCCAGAGAGGGAAGGAGAGGAGGAGATCCGATTCCGAGCGGCCTCCATGATCTCATCCTCTCTTGCACTGCAAGCCAGTGGGAGATTTCCTTTCGAACGGACGTCACCGGCAAGTGGCTGTGACAGGTGGGCCACTCGAAAATCGAGATACGTGTGGCCCACATGTCGGTCAGAGTAGAGACTGCCCACCAATAGCCGCCCGCGTGGTGTTTGAAACGGGGAGGTACTCCGTGCGATCATGTGCCACGTGGACGGTAAATGGCCTACTGCAAGCCTGCCACGTAGAGGCCCGTAACTCGCGCGCCCCCCACGTTGACGACGCGTTTTGCATCACTGACATCGTGGTCCCACAGATGCATGTGTCCCCAGTAGTCAGAGAGCTACATGTCCTGGACAAGAGAGGCTCACGAACCAACGGACGCGATCGTGTTGAGATCGTGGCGGGTACTAGTATGGGGGTGGATACAGTTCGTCGATCGTGTCAGAGGTTGGGCGGTAGTAGGCACGTGAGGAGGAGGCTGCCTATTGGTTGTGACTTGAGCTGTGATCGGTTTAGGGATCGGGGCACCATGAATCATGATCGGCTCACCGATGGGTGGAGGCTCAAGGCAAAGCATGTCCCGTGCACAAATCAATACAGCAGCCTGACTTGGTTTAACTGATCAATCAACATTCACTTTCAATCATACTGAATATTTTATTACTATAAATTTTGATACAACAAATCAAATACTAGTATCTCTTTACCATTGCTACTCTATTAAAATTTAGTTAGATAGAACTTGCGGAGAATGTGTTAATATTCATAGGTGGAGGTATGAGTTAGGGCTTCGACAAATATATCAATTGAACTTACGTGGTAGATAGTAAAAAAGCATCAACAAGTTAAAAAAAATCAAGGTAGAGAATGATATAATATTTGATCCAGTTGTATTTGTATGTGTAGGTTTCTTCTTGCAGCTTTTTGGGAAGTGCTCTTGAAATTTCTCTACATAAGGCCTGGTTTAGTTCCTAATTTTTTCTTCAAACTTTTAACTTTTCCATCACATCAAAACTTTCCTACACACATAAACTTCCAACTTTTCCATCACATCGTTCCAATTTCAATCAAACTTTCAATTTTAGCGTGAACTAAACACACCTAAAACGCAGACGCCTGGACCGTCTTCCTCTCTTTAACTGGCAGTTGGAATCCCCCTTCCCACAAGGAGGTCCTCATCCGAGTTAATCATGTTAACCGGGACTTTTCACATTAGTTTAGGTGTAGTTGTGTTCAAGCTCAAGTCGACGGTGGCCAACATCAATCTCCTGCATTGGAGCCATTCCCTGTTAGTTGCATCTGCTTCTTGTTTGCCGAATGAGTCGACCTCCACCATGCCTCCTAGGTGAGATTAAATAATCGTGCTCCCTTTTAACTACTAGGAGTATGGTGGATTTTCTCGGGATGAAAGCCTCATCCTCAGTCCCAAAGAAAACAAGGTAGTGTTGGCCGTTCTCTACTTCTCTAACAATCTATCCACGCTATCAATAACCTTCTTCCTTGTCGCAAAGTGACGGATCTTGAAGAGGGGGCTGATGATTTCTAGATGTACCTCAACCCCCATCTCGAAGAGGCTCCAAAATGGGAACACATTTTTTCCTTCATTTGGAGATTGCCATGGACTGACTAGCCTTGCTATCGCCATTATCATCAATGGAGAATCCCATGGAAGAACCAGAGTTTGGGACATGATTGCTTTTTTAAGTTTCTTCAAAAGCCCTTCTTTGCTTATTTGTTGCACAATGTGTAATTTACCCACGTTCCTAGGGGCTACCTTGCAAATACATCAATCCTCTCAGCTAGCTTTTTACTCCCTCCGTCCAAAAGAAAAAAAAGCCAACATCGTATTAGCATGTGACACATCCTAGTACTAGGTTTATTTTTTAAAGACATAGGGAGTTTATAGTAACTATGAAGGTAGCTCGCGCAACGTAAAATATGTTTGAAAAACTTGTAGGGAAGAAATATCAACCGGATGAGCCTGCCACACTTCAAAAGTATTATTTCTCCTTATATTTTCTTCATGGATATTGCTTGCACTTTTTTTCGAAACTATTTGTTAGTTTTAAACCATATAATATTTAATTTATTCCTATAAGAAATTGTTTATGATATTTTTCATTATATAGAGAGAAGGTTGACTTAGTTTGTCTAAAAAACATGTCTTAGAAATTAAGTATAAATTAAACGTATGATGTTTTCCAGTTCTAATTGAATGTTTGGAGTCCATCTTTTTTAATAAATCCTGAAAACTATTATTATTAATAAATGTATTTTATTTGTACCATTAAGGTAGCATTCCTTCTAATTGATTCGCATTAGGGTAATTTGTTATATACTTGCATATGAATAAATAAAGACAGACTAGATACACATATACTATATCCCACTTCCTATGATACATAATATATAGTGTAATTTTATTTGAAAACACCTAGTTAATATGAGTCCTAAAATTTAAATTTAAGTAACAAATATAAATTTAAACAAAATATGTTTTGTTATTAGTGTTTCTTATAGGTAGATGGAAGGTAATTAGTATCAAAACATTATGGTAATGGAACATGCGGTGTTTATTTTGATTTAGGTGAAAATCAAGAATCATACTATTTTACCAATCCCTTTTAATTTTGCTTGTCCTCTATTTTCGCTATTCATGTTAATATCTCGTTACCTGTCTCTTTCATGGGGCTGAACAAAGAAAAAAAATCAGATCAAAATAGATTAAACTCAATAAACACCGTTGTTCAATCCAAGTTTAGGCTGGTTTCAGGATCAAAACATATTGTTTTAAGTAGAGTTCAGAGTGCTGGAACTAATCTTCTCCGGTCTTGCTTAGCTACGGTGTTTTGGCCGCTTTGACTTGCATTTACGGCTAATTTTTTCGGTGGTAGATAACGTGCCTATTGACTATGAGGCGTATGTGGTAACTTTGTCAATCTCAAAATATACCGACCGGTTCTTCCGGAGATGATCATAGTGATAGGGTGTACATGTGTGAGTTTATAGGGGTGAGTGTGTGTACGTTGTGAACGTCTATGTTTATATTGTGTTTCAATTATCTCATATTGAAGCGACAAACATAAATCATCCATGTGATAGCAGGAGATTACAACAATGCAGAATGAAATCTCCGGGTTTTTTTTTATGGTCTAATGATTTGGATGGAAACCATACCTCTATTGTCTATGCTCTGATTTTGTCCTATGCCCTTGCACTTTGCCAGCTCGCAATGGAGTCATCATGAAGAGAAGACAAAGATCGAAGAGAGCCTGCAGCCGAATTAACAGGACTTAATTCATGGACCACGGCCACAACCGATATGTATTCCTTTTGCGTGTTCGTGAAAAAGAAAAACGAACAACATCAGCCGTTGATGCAATTATGCAGTGGAAACACGGATTAGAAAAGGAAGGCGCACTCATAACACACGCTCCTTCGGTCCTTCCTTCAGAAATGGCTGGTTTCTTTGATGTTGAGTGGTGACACTGTGGTACTGCAGAACTTCCCGTTCCCTTCTTATAAACTGTTGATGGCCAACATTGTTTGCATTGTACCCGATTCTGAACATGAATTTTTATTGTCCTGGATGTAGAACCAACAGACGGTATCTATTGGAGTATTAGATCTATTTTTGGTTTGATCACTTAATTGCACGTGGTAATTGTGTGCCATGCAATGTACAGAACTACAGATGGAGTCCTTGAATTTTTGAGCAATCATGTTGTGAGACTGTTCTCTGTGTGCGGCAGCATGTGGACGACTGCATTTCTCTGTAAAAACCTGCGTAAATTGTAGCTCTGGACAGAGTTTAAATGCATGGCAATGGCATACGGAGTAGTGTATAGGTAACTCTACAACCCCTCTTCTTCGTTGTTGATGCTGCTGCTGCTGCTGCTGCTGCTGAGTTTGAGCAGGCCATTTTCGTTCCGATCCACCTGTCCAGAGTGCAGACAATGCCAAAAAAACCGAGGCCTGGCTATGAAACTCTGCTTTGGCTGAAGTATCTTCTGATTTTTTTTTCTTTTTCAAGTAGTCTAACAGGTCCAAAAGAGTGCCTTTATAGAAGCTTTTCCTTTGCACTTGACTCTATTTAAGGGTGCAAACAGGCAGGTCCGTGAACCCATTTATAATACAAATAACCCCCTTATAATATAAATATTCCCTCCGTTTAATATTATAAGTCGTTTGACTTTTTTCTTAGTCAAAGTTCTTTAGTTTTGACCAAATTTATAGCAAAATATAACAATATTTTCTAAAAAAGCAAACAGTGTATCAAAATATATTTATTGCTAAATTTAATGAAACTAATTTGGTGTCATAAAGGTAGCTATTTTTTTCTATAAACTTGGTCAAATCTAAATAACTTTGATTAAGAAAAAAATCAAACGACTTATAATATGAAACGGATGGAGTATAAACATTTTCTCCTAGATGGTCTTATATTTATATCCTCTAAGTGTTCCCTTGTTCAGATAAAACTAATAAGGCAAATATTTAAATAAGAGAAGTAGTCCAGGTCAGGTCAAATAAGACTGTTTCTATTTTCTTATCTGGGTTTCCTTTCTTATGTATTCAAGACCTTTGTCATATGTATGATATTGATTCCGTATAGGATTTAGTATATAGTGAGCCCCGCCGAGCTTAATACACAAGTATATGGTACCTGTATTTATGACACTGACAATGTTGTAATGCTTGCTTCTAGTCTTCTAGAATCAGATCAGAAAGCCACCAAAACAAAACCAACCTGATAGCTCTCCTCGTGTCTCTTGTGTCCCTCTTCCATGCATGTAGCAAGGTGAGCTAGCGTGTGAGAGAAGAAGAAATCGAATTCAATGGAGGAGGAAGAAATAGAGGAAGATATCCTTCTTCAGCTTCTTCCGTGCTGCCTTAGTCCTAGTCTTCTCATGTAACCTCCACATCCCGTATCTTCTTCCTCTTTGTCAACCCAATCAATCGTGTAGGTGTAAAACCTTCATCTTTTTCAATCAAAGTTGAGACACCTCAGGGGACGCTGTCGAGGGCTACAGTAACTTCATGGTCACCCGTCCTTGATAACGAGAGTCGTACGCCATCTATGATGTCGACTTCGTCATCACTGAGAATTGCTTGAAGAGCATGATCTTCTTCTCCTCGTACATATCTACTTATCAGGACTAGTACCCCACAAACTATTAGACCCGTGTACTAGGTCTGGTATCCAATAGGTATCATGTTTGGTACTCACCTGACATGTGGGTTTAAGCCTGTTACCACATAGTACTACATAGTTTCAGACATGGTACCTGTAGGTACCAGTAACAAGTCTGATACCCAACTAGTATTATATCATTATGGAACGTGAGGTATATCATACCGTTTTGAAACGTGATTTCATATAATAACAACCCCCTTATTTATGTTTCAGCTACTTGTTATTTCGACCAATCATAGTCACATGTATTTAGTTCCACCTATTTCCTTAGGGTAAGTGCCTTTTAAGGCTGAAACCAAGAGCAAGACGGGTAAGTGGGAGAAAACCGTGGATACCTACGACGCGACGAGGCGTGGTATTTTGGTTGGGGGAAAACTTTCTACAGGACATAAACATGTAATTAGCTAGGAGACACTGCAAGAATGTGTATCTGCTGTGGTAAAAAACTGGTAAATAGCTGCTGGACACCTATGATATTATTTTATTATATCTAGAGCAAATAGAGAGAGAAATAGCCGCAAAAGTATGATTTTCCCCTGCCTGCCATGTGCGGCTCGTATATAGCTCCGACGTAGCGGTGGCCACGACATGTTTGGGCTGGCATGCCCCTCATGCTGCAGCAATATAATGATGAGCGCAGGAACAACGCGAAGTCACAAGCCCAGGTGCGCGGGCCCCCTTGAACCCCCTAGAGAGCTGCCTCGCCGTGGCGAGACCACATGCGCTCCGTGAGGCCCTGCTCGACATGAAATAGGAAGTGGTTAACGTCGTGCTCGCCTGCAAGCACGGTGTGTGGCGGAGCACTGGCATCGGTGTGGCCCTCGCACTGCAGTGGTGACAAGTACGGGAACGACGCGGAGCCACGGGCCAAGACGCGTGGGCCACCCTCAAACCCCCAGAGAGCCGCCTCACCGATGATGGCGGCGACAGTGGGTGCGGTGGCGGTGTTAGAGCTATATACGAGCTGGACTTGGTAGGCAAGGACAAAATCGTACTTTTACGACTGTTTCTCTCTCTATTTTCTTTGGATATTATAAAATAATATTACGGGTGTCCAGCATCTAATTACCAGTTTATTACTCCCTCCATTTTTTAATAGATGACGCCATTGACTTTTTTTCACATGTTTGACCATTCGTCTTATTCAGAAAATTTACGTAATTATAATTTATTTTGCTATGAGTTGTTTTATCACTCATAGTATTTTAAGTGTGATTTATATCTTATACATTCGCATAAAATTTTTGAATAAAACGAATGGTCAAACATGTAAGAAAAAATCAACGGCGTCATCTATTAAAAAACGAAGGTAGTACGATCTTACAGTAGATATGTGTTCTTGACTTTTTTAATGTCGTGTAGCAAATTTTGTTTTTGGTTGGGCGTGGACGGCGAGCGCGAGTGAGCGACTAAACGCATATGCCGGGATGCGGGAGCGCGATTATTACGCGTGCGCGCGGCGACGTTCATCTGTAGCTTCAACCTGCAAGCAGTGTACGATGCCGGCTCCTCACCAGATGTGTGCATTGCGGCCATTGCCCAAGCAGGAAATTACCTGTTGCGCATCTCACGACGAGAGGCGCCATCGTCCGTGCGATCCAGCAAGACAGAGCATCCGTACTCCAAACCTGACCTCCGTCGGAGTCTCCGATTACCTGCAGTTTTGCGTGCTTTGCAGTCGTAGGATATTACTCCCTCCGTTTCATATTATAAGATATTTTCTTTAGTCAAAGTTAAACTGCTTCAAATTTAACTAAGTTTATAGACAAATATAATAATATTTACATTACCAAATTAGTTTTATTAAATTAATAATTAAATATATTTTTATAATAAATTTATCTTGGGTCAAAAAATATTACTATTTTTTTTATAAACTTGATCAAGCTTGAAGCAGTTTGATTTTGATAAAAATCAAAACATCTTATAACTTGAAACGCATCTTACAACTTGAAACGGAGGGAGTATAATACTACACCTTTGCCACTGCATTACAATTACCAGTTGTGTTCACCTCGTCATTTTGCACGTCACAGCTCATCATCAAGACATCAACTGACTAGTCTTGTACTACATCTTTGGTTTCTGCTAAAAGATCTTGCAGAAACATCAAAGCAACAGCATCACACAAATGGTACAACCATTAAAAGAAACTAATGGAAGAATAGGGCCTTCAGTTATAAGTTACAGCGACAAGATCAACCTAATTTAATCACACTTAATATGTTGGCATCGAACTGCTGTTGTTGTTTTTCCACCTTGTCCATAGCAGGACCTCCAGGGTGATAATGGTGATCAGGAGGATGGCCAGGTTGAAGCCATAGCCGATCTTCCACGAGTTGCCGGCGGCTCCGACCTTGATTCCAAGGACAATGTTGATGGCTGCAAAGAAGAGCGCAAGCCTGCCTACCCAATGGTGGTACCAGTTCCAGTATTTCCGATATTTTGAGTCCTTGTGAGGCCTTAGGAAGAAGGCCAGAATCTGTACAATGTTACATATGTTCAGATCCATGTATCCAATTTTTGTTGGAAAACATAATAATAATAATAGAGTAAATTTCACAAAACTATATGTTTTGTGGTCCAAATTGTAGAAAACCACATACACTTTGACACTTAGGCGCTTAAGTACATATATTTTGGTAGTATAGTTTCACAAAACCACACTATCAATGAATGGATTCAGCCGTGATATGACGTGGGTGTTCCACTTAGGACAAGAACATGGCATCCTATTACCAGCCATCGCATGAAATTAATAGGATGCCACGTCCTCATCCTAGGTGAAACAACCATGTCATCTCACATGTGAATCTGTTCATTGATAGTTTGGTTTTGTAAAACTACACTACCAAAATATATGTATTTGAGTGCCACATGTCAAAATGTGTGTAGTTTTCTATAGCTTGGACCATAAAACGTGTAGTTTTGTGAAATTTACTCATAATAATAATTGACTATTCATAGTGCATATTTTCTGACTTTCTGTCATTAGTTCCTAGATGAGTACATGCATACTGCTAAGACTATAACTAACATGGTTATTGCAAGAGTAATGTTGAACGTAAACTGAGTAGTACAACATCATTGTTATAACTAACATGATTGTTGCAACGAGGAAGAAGGAGCATACCTGCAGGATACCCAGCACAAGCACAAATATGCCAAGGCCCCTATGCGCCGGGACATCTGCTTGGATCTTATTGTACAACGATACTCCGGCCACAATGCCAGCCAGACCAAGGATGAAGCCCACAAGCTGGATGCCGGCGTGAAGGTAGAACCACAGAGGGTCCCATCTCCTGCAGTACCGCGCGATGATAGCACCGATAGGCAGGAGAACTCCCCAGGCAAACAGGTTGAGTGCCCCATGGGCCCTCTTCAGACCATCCGGGTAAGACGAACCTGAAGAGCTGCCTGCAAATGGACAAATGCCAAATTGTTCGATGATGTTAGAAATCTCTCATTTTGAAATCAAAGTGATGGCAGAAGTTTCAAGAAAAGAATGACTAGGTGAAGCCATCACATGACGCAAAGGAGTGATTGTCTCATTCTACATTTTTAGGACGATTTTTTTTTTCAAGCCAGGTGTCATTCATTTGACAAGTAAGACCTCACATAACACATGATTTTTCACAACCAATTTATGTTAACCAAGAAGAGCTTTGAATCCTTGAGCAATGAAAAGAAAAAATGAATTCAGGGCGACTTTCAAACCTACACCCTCAATCCTAAAAGAAAATTAATTCCTATAATTTCTAGTTATGAATCTGGATATAGGCAAAAGTTGGTTATGTTAGGAGGAGGGAGCACACAGCTACATTTACTGAAATTCTATTTCGGGATAGTTCTCTTCATATCAATGGGACATTTCCCTGTCAGTGTGGTGTGCACGCGTGTGCGTGTTCGGTGAGTAATAACCAAAAAACACATTCGCAGTTTTGCAGCAGAGGAGAGCTAGAACGAACCAGTGGTGAAATCGAAGGTGAAGGACGTCTTGCCCTGGTGCTCAGTGAGGCGGTCGTTGACGGGGATGGCGTTGCCGAAGGCGAGGAGCACCTGCTGCCGCCTGAGCGGCGACTGGAACCTGAGCTGGAAGGCGAGGTAGATCTTGGCCTGCTGCACCACGACGGTGTGGTCGTGGTCCTTGGACTGGAGGAAGCCCTCGTCGGCGACCACCTGCGACGGCGTCTTCCCGCGGAGGCTGAACTGCTTGACGTGGGACAGCCCCGTCTTGCCGACCCACCCAACCATGGCGCTCGATCCCACCATCATCCCGTCCTTGGAGAACCCCATCCCCACCCACCCCGTGCTGTACATCGACGAGATCACCACCCGCAGCACGTTGTCCTTCCCCTGCGCGTACTGCGACACACAGAGAATCAGAGATCGAGAGAGAGAGGGGAGACGGTGAGCACGCGGATCTTGGCTCGCCGGAGCACCGGTGCGGCGTGGGTAACTTACCCGGAGGACGAAGTTGTTCCAGACCGGGCGGCAGGCCAGCCCGGAGTAGTTGCCGGCGAGCGCCGGGGGCAGCGCGTCGTCGCAGCTGGATGTCTGCGCCGTCGCCGCCCACGGCGCCAACAGCACCGACGCCGCGGCGAGCACCACCACGAGCACCGCACCGGCGCGCGCCATTTGCCGGGTGTCCCGCCGGCCGGCGACGTGAAACGGTGAAAGTCTGAAAGAACTAATCACCTATCTGCTGCTGGAGCTAATCACCCAAAATCGCAATTGCTGGAAGCTGGAAACCGAACTGCCGATTATTTTATCTCCTTCTTTTCTCGGCGATTTGGGAGGGAGAGGGAGGCAGAGGCTGGTGGAGTGGCAAGTGCGACTTGATGGATGGATGCAGCTCGTGATTTCGCTTATGATATTCTTGTTGGTGGGCTGGTGGCCTTGTGAGTTGTGAGCACGCACTGTCACTGTTAGATCTGGAACCAACCAGCACAACACACACATGGCTAGAAAGAACTCGAGAAATGCTATCTAAATCCAGGTATGTTGTAGCCCTCCATGAGTGTGCTTGCCTCGAGCATCATGTGGTTCAGTGATTCAGTCAGTCCAGATCCAGAAATTGCAATGTGCAGTGTCCTGCTCTTTTCTGTTTGCTGCGGTGAAGTTTGTGTCTAGATTCTTTAGCGAGTCTGGAATTATAAAGCTACTCAGAGAAATAAAGATATTTTCCTTTCAACTTTAGGCTGCACTTACATAAATTCTGAGATACTCCACAAATCATTTGCGGAATAGTAGTGAGGCTTGTACTATGTCAACATGGGTCTTCCAAAATACTATTCGTATACACGCCTGCACATGCAAGCATGTTCTGTCTCATCTCGATTAGCGACACTATCCAACAAACTGAAACTCATTAGTGATTACTTGTTGAATTTTTACGCAGCATTAAGTGTCAAAGCATCATTCGTCGGAGATGGTGCTGAACACTTCCTAGTGTAAAGGGACATAATATGTATCATAATGTCCATCTAATACAATATAAAAGACATCGATCACTTTCTTGAGCCTTTTCTTTTCCCCCAAAAAATAAGCTAGCTAGCTGCGAGCTAAGATCCAATATGTTAATTCAGCTGGATACCATCTAACAACCTTTGGTTGGACCTAATGACATGTGTCGGTAAGCAGGATCAGAAGTATTTTTTGCTCCATTTCTTGAGTTCAGAGGGCGATGCTGCCCGGATGCCCTTGTTCTGTCGGTGCAACGCTGTGTGGTTCCATATTTCGATTTGCAAAAGCAGTATTCCTAACTGCAAGTGGCCATGTAGCGCACGTGCGTAAGCCGTGCAGAAAGGCTGGTGGAGAGAAGACGAAAGCGAACGTCATATACAAGTCCATTTCCTTTGAAATTAGCAACCCCATTTCAATCACGTTGCATCATCCAAGTTGACAAGAGTTGTCATAAACTAGCAGCAGCAGTACACCCAAGAGTTCCTTGACGCTTGAAATGAGGCTAGTTTCATGCACAATAATGGAGCTTCAGGTTCAGTCAAGAGAGCCATAATTCATCCCGTAGGAATTCATCAGAAGATGTATAAAAAATAAAGAAAGATATAGAATAGTCTCTGTTTTTCTGTCTAACTGTTCTGCTGTATTATATGGACAACTGTTCTGAATACTTGAATATGAGCAGCTCTCATATCGCCCCTATATGGCAGGAGTCAAAGGGAGGAATTTTGCAGACAGTGGATGTGTAATTTCTGTATAACTAATAGTATGAGAATACCTGTTTCTGTATACTCTTCTTCCTTTTCCCCTTAAGATCTAATTCTTCTTCTTCCTTCCATACTTTGATTTGGTATAGATCCTTCTATCCTTTACAAAGAATTGAACTCAGAATTACAATACATCAATCATCTTCAGCAATTTTCTTTTGCATATATTCGACATTTGTACACTTAAGGACCATCCTGTGCTTTGTCTGTCCCTCTTGAAGCTGCCTCCCGGATGAGCCTCATGGACTCGGTGAAGTCATCCAGTAGCTCATGAGCATCTGGAAACTGTGTCTCATCTACAGCAAGGGCTAGCTTTATAGTGTTCATGTAGCTCTGCCAATGCATTGTCAAGGCCTGTGCATGCACACCCAAACCCAAATGGTTAATCAAACTCTTCAGAAATGCAAACTTGGGAGGAGATGCAGATGAATGCATGATCTGGATAATACTTACATGCGGGTGGCCATAGCTGGTTGGGGAGATGTACACGATCGGGTTGCCGCAGAACAAGATCTGCTCGCTTGGCCCTGCCAGGTTGGAGAAAGACAGTGTGGTGTTCGAGAACATTCCGTAGCAGAGAGAAGCTGCCGCCTGTAGTACAAGAATCAGTCAGAGACTGAGAGACCATCCGATGCTGAATCATGAATTGCATGCCAAGAGTACATGGTATGTCCTCAACGCTTGTGATTTCTGTCACATGATGATGATGATGATCTCATACACGTCACATGTATCGACTACTACTGACAGTCTGACAGAAGCACGGTCATTTTGTAACGTTCGGGTGCATAGCCAGAAATGCTTATTTGGGAAGATAAGTACCTTGATGCCAAAAAGTTTGACTACCATGTCGGCGCTCCAGTAGGTGAAGATCGCCTCCATGGAGCTCTTCTTCCTGCGGGTAACCTTGGTCGCTTTCCGGACGTACTCCAGAGGGTCATCGTGCTTGGCTAGGTGGAATGGCAGTATCATGTAGCCAAACCGATTCCCCCATTTCACGCCGTTGTTCTTGCCAGACTCCATCATTTTTGCCAGTTCCTGATCAGACCCACAATAATTAATAATTAAGGCCAACTCTGAATCATTATGTTGTGTGTGACGGATAATCTTTTCTTTATTAGCTTGAAATCATCAAAGACGACACAAGTTTGTGGCTTACATGTAGCCCAGGAGTCGGCCTTAAGTTGACCATGAGAGCAGTTCGCACCTTGATGTTCTTCTTTCCTTCACTTTCACCTGAACAATGAAGTTGCAACAATGTCTGTTTCTACCCAACTGTCTCAAAATGCCGATTTTCTGACTCACTAATATGGTGATCTATCAGATAATAATACTGCTCAGTGGTCACAGCCTCACCTGTTCTCCGGAAATAATACCGGGACAATGCTGCAGAACTCAGTCCAACCAGCACATCATTTACAGTCTGCGTGCGAAAACCTCATCAGTAATGTGCTTGATCTTTCAGAAATTCAGAAGTAACGTGACTAGCTAGTGAGGTGAGCTTTTTTGAGCGTACGTACGCATCCCACGGCGTTCTTGATGTTCTTGACGTCGTCGAGGCTGATCGTGCGATTCACGAAGCGCCTGGGCCGGAACTCGGCGCCCTCGTCGCCCTTGAGCACCGTGCGGGCGTCGCCCATGAGCGACGCCGCCGTGAGGGTGAAGCAGACCACGTCCACCACCGTGTGCCACGCGAGCACGAGGTAGGACAGCGCCCACGCGGCGAGCGCGAGCGCGCCCGCGGCGAGCGGCGGGCGGGGCGGCAGCGCGTGCAGCGGGCCCTCGCGGCGGCGGCGGCCGGCGGCGGAGGACGGGAGCGCCGGGATCGCGTCCGGGTCGTCGGCGCGGCGGGTGCAGGCGATGAGGAGGGAGAGCAACGAGACGCCGTCGCCGAGGGAGTGGTGCATGCGGAGCGCGACGGTGGCGGCGGCCTCGGCGGTGGGGAAGCCGAGGACGTGGAGCTCCCAGAGCGGGCGGGAGCGGTCCATGGGCATGGACGGCGTGGAGAGCGACGACACGTAGTCCTCCACGGCCTTCTCCGGGTCGGCCGACGTGTCGGTGGGGCCCAGGTCCGGGACGATGATGTGGTCGTCCAGGTTCACCTTGGTCCGGACCCACATAGGCTTCGCGCTCTTATCCAGCTCGTCCAACACCTGGATGCATTTTTTATAGGAAAATATTTTTCATCAATTCTCTCCCTATATTGTTCGTTACTTACGTTTTGGGTTTAGAATAGGTTTAGGTGCTTTATATATGTGTCCTCAGTTACTTGGATGTTACTTCTAATTTAGACTAGAGATAAAGAAATCAAAGCGTCTTAGAATATACCCTTTCTATCCATAAGATTACAAGTGTTGCACATATTATATTTTCTACTTTTTCTAACTAAGTTGCACATGTGTGCAAAGCTTTGAATAAGCATTAAGAATGTGATGGATATTTATGAACTTTGGATGAATGGATATTTATGTTTATGTGTGTGGTTGAATGGATGGATGGAGGTGTATGTATGTGGATGGATGGATGTGTATGGATTTTGGATGCTGCGGGAGGGGATATGTGGATTTTGCAAGTGAAGACTGGGCATAGAGCTGGTTGTGAGCTACTGAGCTCTCTGCCTGGGGACCTTACCCCAGTGCCAGGGAGAATGGTGCTTAGGCAGGCAAACTCATTGCCAGGGTAAAGCCTAATACATGAGCTAAGTTGGACGGGCTATCGGTGAGCTTCTAAGTCTCAAACCTTAGCACCAAACTATTTGACGCTGAGGTCTAAAGTGTCAGCGTCATTTGTCCTGGCGTTGAGGTTTGCCGGCTCAGCGTCTGCGGAGCACCCAACACAGGAACTGTGTTGGGCGACCCGGGCGTGAGCGGCTAAGTCCCAGAGCTCAATGCTAGACGTAATGGCACTAAGGTTAGCGTGTTATCGGTGACATGGGACCGGGAGTATCATGACTTAGAGACTTGAGGCAGACACGATCACCCACGTGGCCTAACCCCCTCGGGGGGGGGGGGGGGTCGGGCCCGAGGGTGATACGGCCGCCTTTCTCTTTGTCTCTCCGAGGGGTCGGACCGCTCCCGTCTCGGCCCCGAGGGCCGAGGCGTCCCGACCCCTTGTGGGTTTTGCGCCGCGTATATGGGGTAGGTGAGCATAGCGGGGCTCACCTAACCACATTTATTGCGGTTTGGACGAGCGCGTCATGCCGCATGTAACGCAGTGCAGCGCGCTCGTTTATCCGGTCTGTGACCAGTCACAGACCGATCAGATCGTGGGTTAGGTGGCGACAGGCGGTCTGACGCACGCCTCGCCCCATCCCATCAGGATGAGAGCCTCCAAGCACTCGTCCCTAGCCGGAGCCGGCGTGTTAGCTCCTGGAGATGGCACGTTGGTTCCGGTCAGATATATGCCAGGCTTCATCCTAACCATTACAGGTAAGATATTGTATGAAGAAGGGCGAACATGCAGATTGTTAAACTGACACGTGGTGGACAAGAATGACCGATTTGTGACCGGTCTGACTATGGTCATGTCGTCAGCAGACAGCCATGTTCCCACGTCGCGCCTGCTTCCGGCGGAAGTGGAGGTAGGTATGGGCCGTCCCATCAGAAGGTCATTCGGACGGCAGCCATACAAATCTCCGTCCATTAATGAAGAGAAGTCAAGTTGGAGGGAAGAGAGGATGAGTCCCCACACAAAAGAAAGAGAGGGAGAGATGGTGCATGTGGTATCCCCTTGAGATATAAAAGGAGGACCTTGCCCACTTAAGAGAAGGTGGTGAAAGGGGGGATGATCTGGAGAGAAAAAGAAGGATCCCAGAACGATCGGGGGCTGGCTCGCACTTTGTAGCTTCTTCATACACAGATCCACCAAAACACAGGAGTAGGGTATTACGCTTCTCAGCGGCCCGAACCTGTATACATCGCCCGTGTCTTGTGTGTTTCCACTCTCGCGAACTTTCCACAGGCTAGGAGCTTAGAACCTCACCCAGGGCCCCCGGCCGAACCGGCAAAGGGAGGCCTGCGCGGTCTCCCGGTGAGGAGCCCCACGCTCCGTCATCTGGCGCGCCAGGTAGGGGGCTCTGCGTGTGTTTTTCTAAGCTCTCGCATTCTTTCGTGTGCGCCAAGCTTTTCCTGTTCAGCCCAATGGCCGAACAAGCAAAGGCGCACAACCTCTCTCCGAGTGTTAGCGGTGACGACGGGGAGCCGAACCCACGCCGTCGAGCCCGTACTCCACCGTCCCCTCCACGCCAAAGTCCTAGGCGGGAGGAGGCGCTCGAGAGGGTCGAAGGATCCGCGACTTCGACATCCACGGGTGATGGGGAAGGGCGGCGAGATGGGGAGCGTCGCCTCCTCGTCTACGGCGACGGCAGCACGCCCCAGGGCGCGCTCCAAGCTGCGGGCGCGCTCCTACGTCACCCGCCCGTTGTCCCTGACCCGGAGTCTCCAGCCCAACGTTGGCTGGACGACGTGGCCAACTTGGTCATGACGGCACGGCATCGCCTAGGTGCTGGTGGGCGGTCCTCCGCCACCAAGACCTCTGGCGCTGCTACCACCGGCTCCGTGTCGTCAAGGTGGAGGGCGCGGCGAGCGGCGGCTGTTGCTCGCCATTCGGCCGCCACTCCTTCGTCAGCGCCTCCGACCCAGGAAGATCTGCGTGGGGGGCCGGATGCCCGCATCAGTATCGAGCGCCGGCGTAATGGCCGACGTGCTCCCCACGCAACGGAGGGCGCCTCCTCGTCCGGAGTGTCACATCAACACGGACGCGGGGATCAGCCCTCCGTGCCCCCGGTTGGTGGTGTCGGCTGTAGAGCCTTTGTGGCGAGCCTTCGGAACGTCCGTTGGCCCCCAAGGTTTCGGCCCACCATCGCCGAAAAATATGACGGGAGCGTCAACCCCGCCGAGTTTCTCCAGGTCTACACGACCGGGATCGAGGCCGCCGGGGGTGACGACAGGGTCATGGCGAATTTCTTTCCCATGGCCCTGAAGGGACAGGCACGGGGTTGGCTAATGAACTTGCCACCCGCGTCCGTCCACTCTTGGGAGGATTTGTGCCAACAGTTCACCATGAACTTTCAAGGCACATATCCGCGCCCAGGTGAAGAAGCGGACCTGCACGCAGTACAGCGAAGGGATGATGAGTCACTTCGCTCGTACATTCAGCGGTTCTGTCAAGTCCGCAACACCATACCATGCATCCCTGCACACGCGGTGATCTACGCGTTCAGGGGGGGTGTGCGGCACAACCGCATGCTCGAAAAGATCGCCTCCAAAGAGCCCCAGACTACCGCGGAGCTTTTTCAGCTCGCGGACCGAGTGGCTCGTAAGGAGGAGGCATGGACCTGGAACCCCTCCGGTTCCGGTGTGGCAGCTTCGGCCGCCCCCGGATCCACTACTCAGACAGGGCGGCGTGACAGGATGAGGAAGAAGAGGTCAGCCCATACCGACGACGAGGGTCATGTCCTCGCCGTCGAGGGCGCTTCGCGGGCCACCCGAAAGGGGAGGCCTGCAGGCGACAAAAAGAAGGAGGCCGGCGCTCCCAGCAGGGAGCGCCCAACCGGCAAGTGGTGCATCGTCCACAACACTTCCCTTCACGACCTCGCGGACTGCCGCGCAGTCAAAAGTTTGGCTGAGCGGACGAGGAAGTGGGAGGAGGAGAGGAGGCAGGAGCGCCGAGAGGGCAAGTCCCCGGCGGTTCCTTCCGGCAATCGGCGAAGTGAGGCCAAACAGAAGGCCCCCGCCGAGGACATCGATGACGGCGATGATGACCTAGGTTTCCAAGAGCCTGGGGCCACCATTGCCACTGTCGATGGGGGAGCGTGTGCTCACGTTTCTCGCCGGAGCCTCAAGGCCATGAAGCGAGAGCTTCTGGCCGCGGCCCCTACTCATGAGGCGACGCGCCGGGCGCGGTGGTCGGAGGTTGCCCTCACCTTCGACCAGACCGACCACCCACCGTGCGTTGCCCGGGGAGGACAGATCGCAATGGTGGTTTCCCCCACTGTTTGCAACGTGAAGCTGGGGCGTGTCCTCATTGATGGAGGAGCAGCCCTCAACATCCTTTCCCCCGCAGCCTTTGACGCCATCAAGGCCCCGGGGATGGTGCTCCGGCCGTCCCAGCCGATTATCGGTGTGACGTCGGGGCACACTTGGCCGCTAGGTCATATCGACCTCCCGGTCACCTTCGGTGGATCCGCCAACTTCCGCACGGAGCGGGTGAACTTTGATGTGGCGGACCTCAGTCTGCCCTACAACGCGGTCTTAGGGAGGCCTGCGTTGGTGAAGTTCATGGCGGCGGTCCACTACGCCTACCTCCAGATGAAGATGCCGGGCCCCGGTGGCCCCATCTCTGTCCATGGCGACCTCAAAGTCGCGCTTGCTTGTATGGAGCAGCGCGCGGACCACCTCGCCGCCGCGTCCAAGCCCGAGGGTGGCGACGAGAGGCTTGGCACCTCCGTCCCCGCTGCCCCGAGGCAGCGGATGATCACATGCGACGAGGTCCCGGTCAAGGAGGTTGCCCTGGGCGACGGCCCGTCCAAGACCACACGGATCGGTGGTCTTCTGGACGGCAAATAGGAAGACGCGCTCGTCTCCTTCCTGCGGGCAAACGCTGACGTCTTCGCATGGAGACCGGCGGATATGCCCGGGGTCCCCAGGGAGGTGATTGAGCACCGTCTCGCCGTGCGGCCGGGCGCAAGGCTGGTCCGGCAGAAAGTGCGGCGCCAGGCCCCGGAACGTCAAGCCTTCATCCGCGAGGAGGTGGCGTGACTTCTGGAGGCCGGATTCATCCGCGAGGTCATCCATCCGGAGTGGCTGGCGAACCCGGTGGTCGTTCCCAAGGCGAACGGCAAGCTTCGGATGTGCATCGACTACACCGACCTTAACAAGGCATGTCCTAAGGACCCTTACCCCCTGCCTCGCATAGATCAGATTGTCGACTCCACAGCGGGGTGCGACCTTTTGTGTTTTCTAGATGCATACTCTGGTTACCATCAGATTCGCATGGCTAGGGAGGATAAGGAAAAAACTACGTTCATTACCCCCATAGGAACTTATTGTTATACGACAATGCCCTTCGGGTTAAAGAATGCAGGTCCTACTTTTCAACGTACTACTCGAATTTCTTTGGGTAGCCAAATAGGACGTAATGTTGAGGCTTATGT